GCGACGCACATAAGTATTTGTGATCCACCGGATTAGTAAACGGTTTCTGACCCCTCGCCCATAGGCTGTAAAAAAAAACCTCACAGTCGTTTATCTGAATCAAGCCTTGCGCCCCCCCTCCCCCCCCACGCGGTCGACTGCTCCGATTACGGGACTTTACTCAGCTAGGGGATGAATGCTTTGCTTACTCGATCTCACCCTTCGAGGTCATCCTGGTGGTAAAAAAGGGCATGACAGTCGGTCGGGATGCCGACGGCGGTCAACTGTCAGTTTGGGAGAGCCTGCAAAATCTGGCCTCTCTCATGAAATGTGGACTTATGAATGTACTTCTGTCGGGGGAAGGAGATGAGTTCGCTTGCCCTAATGGAAACGGAAGAAATTTTGAGTTCTATGTCCTCCTGCGTCTCCATGACATCCTTCCGCATCCCGTAATTATCGTGGAAGCTTTTTCCTGTTTTTGCCTCAGCTGACTTCATCTGACCCTGAAAAAGTATGTCATGACAGACCCCTGACCCGCATTCAGATACGCCCGAACCCGCACAGCCAACCAACTCTCTGTAAATTCCGACGCCGTAAAGGCACAGGGTGTAGCGGCCGAAGACGTCAAGCGTAGCACACACCTAAGTAAAAGAACGCCGAGAGTAGATCCTGGAGGAGATAGATCTGAACAGAGTCGTTAGCATCTCTGAATACTCATTCACACACAGCAGAAGATGGTACGTCAGGAGTGGGATACAGTATAGTATAACAAGACGGTCATGGGAGATACGTATAATATTAATAATTACTCGTACAGTTGGAATGAGTTACAGCCATCAGATAACCTGTCTGGGTGGAGAGGCGATGCCAACATGCCAGCTAGTAAACCGATGGGGAGCGCAGCGCTGGGGGCAACTGCAGGGAGGGGCCGAGGGGGTGCCGATATAGCGAGGAGGCGAGCGGTACGGACGATACGTTACGGTACAACGAGGCGGAAGGGATCGGCAGAAGAGAGAGGGAGGGCCACCGGCTATCTTCACCGCACGCGGCTACGCCATCTCCACCCTAGGTCCTCGCGCCAAAAGTGTTCACACATTCAAACAATTCTGTTCGCACCGAGGGGCGTTACAAGGGAGATGATGTCATGCTTCCACCGTGTCTAGTTTTGCTGAGGCCCATCTGGTAGCCCAAATGTCCACGCGAATGCCAGTCATCACCGGCACAGGTGCCTCAACTCTCAATCTTGTTCGCTCCTCTGGGATGGAGTCTCGACATCAGGGGAAAAGTTGAGTCGTATGAAAAATGCTTTCAAGCGGTACCATCAGCCGTTTCTGAAGACCAGCTGCTGATGGTGACGATGTTCCATCGTGTCGTCAACAGCAACATGGCGCAGGATGAGGATTTTCACGTGAGGCGGACCTGCGATGCATCTATCGCACTCCCCCTCTGCTCACTCATCTGCGTCTGGTGGTTAGACACAGAGACGGGGCGACCGGAGGTGGACAGGTGGCTGACAATGCTGAGTAGCTCGTCTGCGTCTGCCACGCCCGACCCGGTCCGCGCCAGTAGACGGGGTTTTCACAGAAAAGGAGCCCAACTCTTACGTTTTAGGGAGTGCCATAGAGGTCACATTGAGAAGAAACCATTCGGCCTGACTCCAAGTCCTCGAGCCAGTCAATCCACGCATGTAAACAACACACATAACCTACCAGGAGGACCGAGTTATCCAGGCAGCTGACGGCCTTTGAAGCTGTGACTTTTAGCGTAGTCATAATTTCAAATCCCATAAGGCTATTTATTTAGGGGAATGTGTTGAACTGTCATGTGGGTGGACTCCCCAGTGTCACTCTCACTCTCTCTCTCTCGTCCATCTCCCATGCACCAGTCTGCTCCCCTGGATGGTCATTCATATGACGGCGGAGTTGGGGGCAGTGGCTACCAGAGTTACATTAACCCGCCTACGCGGGCCACATACGAGCCAGTTCCCCCAGCTGTGTCTTCCCCCGCTCCCAACGGGAGCACACGCCGCGGTGGCTAACCGCACCGACTACGGAGCTTCACTCAGCTAAGGGATGGATGTTTTGCTCACTCAACTTCTCCTTCCCAGATCATCTTCCTGGCCGGCAGTGAACAAGGCGCAACAGTCAATTAGGATGCCGAAGGTTGCCAACTGCCAGTTTGAGAGGACCAACAGTATCCGGCCTAATGGGATGTCGACTTATGAATGTACTTCTGTCGGGCCACCTACGAAAACCACGCTTGGCAAGGAAATTCTACTTCAGTAGTATGTTTTTTCCATTCATCATTTATGGCCTCACAAATTCAAATATATTTTGTGGTAAGCACTTATGAAACTATTCCTTCTAATGGTAGGGAGCGCCCACCGATAGTTCTTACGGAACTCACTCGTTCCGTTGTGCCTTACGGGCTCTCTCTCTCTCTCGAGCCCAACCAGCAGCCGCACAGCGGCGCATGATATAGGCAGTATGTTATTCCCGGTTAGAGGCGTGGACTTCTGACTAACGGGTCGGGAGTTCGAGCCTCGGGTGTTTGGAATGACTGGCGGAAGACGGCTAATAAGCCTGAAATGGTCATTCCAGTATCCCTTGTCTTTGTTGGGAATAACATACTGCCAATATTCCTTCTATAAGTTATTTGGTAGAAACTTGCGTAGTCCTCAGATTTTATGCTGGAAGAAAGGGTGTGGTCTGGTTTCAAAAGTTTTTTCTACTTCCTGATTAATTTTGAGTCCGTTGTGTTGCGTTTAATGGTCATGAAATGCAAGCCGTATACTTTCCATATAGGTAAGATCACATGGTCTTCTACGCTGTTAAGAAAATGTCATATAGGGGTCATGGAATTTTGTGATAAACGTAGACTATGTGGCATACTTCAAAAGCAACAACAATAGACGGACTGGTACGATTTTGTGGGAATGGACTTTTCGGTATGGAGTAATCTCAGGATTACAAACTTTCTTAGATGCCGAAGGTTGCCAACTGCCAGTTTGAGAGGACCAACAGTATCCGGCCTAATGGGACGTCGACCTATGAATGTACTTCTGTCGGACAACCTACGAAAACCACGCTTGGCAAGGAAGTGTCTGCTCCAGTATTACGTTTTTTCCATTGATTATCGATGGTCCCACAAATTCAAATGTATTTTATGGAAAGCATTCCCAAAATTATTTCTCCTAGAAGTCATTTGGTAGTAGCTTGCGTCTTCCACAGATTTTATGCTGGAAGAAAGTGTATGGTTTAGCTTTAAAAATGTGTTTACTTACCGAGTAATTTTGAGTCCGTTGCATCTGCCTTTAGTGGTCACAAATTGCAAGACGCATACTTTCCGTGTAGGTTAAACCACATGGTCTTCTATACCGCTAAGAAAATGTCATATAGAAATCGTGGAATTTTGCGACGAATGTAGACCATGTGCTATACTTCAAAAGCAGCATCAATAGACGGACAGGTACGATGTTGTAGGAACGGACATTTCCGTCTGGAAAAATCTCAGGAGTACGAACTTTTTAGAACCCAAAGATACTTTTAGCAAGACTGACTTCTATGGCCGCCTAAACAGGCCATGAGAACAGGGGCGGCCTGCAATACGGGTGGCTTGTAGACAACTTTCAGTAAAATTAGGGCGGGGTTAAAGGTTAGTGTCGGGTTATGGATCAGGTATAAGGTTAGATTTAAAGTTAACGGTATGGTAAGTCTGGATCAAGTTTAGGGTCGGGGAAAGATTTAGCGTTAACTACAGAGTTAAGGTTAAGGGTGGGGTAAGGGTCAAGATTAGGACAACGATGGTAGGGGGCGCTCACCGATCGTTCATACGGAACTCACTCGTTCCGTTGTGCCTTAAGGGCTCTCTCTCGAGCCTAACCAGCAACCGCACAGCGGCGCATGATACATAGGCAGAATGGCATTACCGACAAAGACAAGGGAGACTGGAATGGCCATTTCTGGCTTATTAGCCGTCGTCAGCCAGCCATACCCAATCCCGAAGTGTGGAACACCCGAGCCCGGTGGGTAGAGGCGTGGACTTCTAAACCAACAGGTCGCGAGTTCCAGGCTCGGGTGTTCCACACTTCGGGCTTGGGTATGGCTGGCTGACGATGGCCAATAAGCCAGAAATGGCCATTCCAGTCTCCCTTGTCTTTGTCGGTAATGCCATTCTGCCTATATATTAGGACAACGGTTTAGTTTTATATTAGGGTTATTGTTGGGGTTAAGACAGGGTAATATTTGTCCTCTCCGGAATTGTGCGCAGGTCTACCTTTATTACTTGGGCGGACGTTCCTATTCCCATGTCCTGTTTAGGGGGCCATATAAGTTAGTCTTACCACAATTTTTCTTTAGGAATAAAATTTTATGAAGACGTTGCTTGCTATCAAATGAGCACAGAAAAGAGTATTTCCATGCATGTACCACATGCGACCCAGCCCTTTCGCGCACACAAATGGAGTGGTCGGCCCGGCTCTCGTGTGCGTACAAGTGCCATAGAGGCCACATCAACAAGAAGCCATTGGGAAGGCGAACTAAGAGGTCTAGAGAGGCCAAGTTGCCACTCCAACTATTTTATCCCCGGGATGTCTCTGAAACCCCTGCCGGCAGGGCGAACAAATCAATAATCCGTGCATCCTGACTTGCATAGCAACCTACTATGGGGAGATTTCAAAGCAGACATTTGTGCCGAAGATCGATAATGCGTTAGACGCTCGACGTAGTCTGTAATTTGAAGAGTTGGAACATTTCTAAGACGGGGTTGACGAGTTAGGCAATTCACAAAAGCAGGAAATGTTTGTCCCGAATCGGGGTCGAATCATTGATTCTCCGATTTCCCACTGGGTGCCCAACCTCTTGGATACTGCAGCCGCGCCCGTTGGCTGTGTCACCTGTCGGGATTGATGAAACGTCGGCTGAATTACCCAAACAGACTCAGAAGCAGAGAAGATTACTCAAGTCCACTCGAGACGCTGCTAGATAGAGGGCATAGGCTGAATATATTCCGTGCTTTGTTGCATGCTGGCCTTCTTTTGCGGCTTCCTTCTCGTGCTGTACCAGGTTTGTAAACAGAAGAGTCGGCGGGAATACAGTGTCGCAACACTTAGAATTGTCTATTCCCGCACCAGCCTGTCTTACGGGCGGACTACTACTACTACTACTACTACCACTACTACTACTACTACTACTACTACTACTACCACCACCACCACTACTACTGCTACTACTACCACTACTACCGCTGTTACTACTAATACTACTACCACTGGCGGGAATACAGTGTCGCAACACTGAAGAAAACTTTTTCCCCCGTCTACCACCACCACTGATACGGAGAATACTACTAATAATCCTACTATTAGTACTACTACTACTACTACTACTACCACCGCCACCACGGCTGCCAATGCTACTCTACCAACGCTTACAGTATGGGTAACTAACTGCAATAATACTAGCATCAGTAACGGAGTGTTGCGACACTGGTATCCAACCGAAGAGTCTCCTAATTAAAGAACTACATATCCTCCTGATATACAGTAGGTGTTCAAATTCATGAAATGTCGTGGTAAAAATGTGTGCGAGAAGTACGTCATGCATTTGGTGTCGTTATTTGCGTTTATTTAAGTGATTTGAAGCGCAGAAAGCATTTACTGATGACGGGGTTCATTTCAAGTCAGTTTTAGTAAAGGAAAGCAGGCCAGATATGGGTGAAATCAGACATTTCTTGATATCCAGATAGTTTTAAATACTACTGAAATTCGAAGATCAAAACTCCATGTTTATAAGCATTGTGTTGTAAACATTGGTTGAAATAAACAGGAAAAGGACGAAATAATTCCCTTCTGGAAAAGGAAATTAGATTTTACTTCCATGAAGATCAGGTGAGAGCAGGTTTGACAATTTGCACTGTATTCAAAAAAGGACCAAAATCAGCGTATAGAATTCTTTTTTGTAAACTATGGCGTTTCGTGCCATAAAAGTTAGCAATAAACTTGTTCGACAGTAGAAAATCAGGCGAGGGCGAGCTTGAGAAATTTCATTGTTTTCAAGAAAAGAGGGTCAAGATCGAATTATAAAATTCTTTTTTTGGAAGTTTTTGGCTTTTCGTGCCATAAAATTTAGTAATTATTTTGTTCTAAAATAGTTTGTTTTACCACACCGAGAACCAATATGCGTAAACAGACATATATTGAGTATGCGCGACATGCTGCCACTTTTCTGTGTGTCACGCCGTGCGATAAACATGTCCAGACAGTGTCTTTCAGCAGTCGACTATGAAAGGATAGGGAAATTCGTCGCGGAAGGGTTGTCGCGTGAGTCGTTAACAAGTATTTTTAATATTAATAAGGTTACTCTGTGACGAATACTTACTGATAGAACCTTACACAGAAATAAGCAGAATAGACCAAAACGGTCCACATAAAAAAATTATCATTATATGCTCATTAAGACCATTCACAGGGAACATTTGCCGGCTAGATCATAGTTGGTAGCCAAGCCCCGTGTTACCGGTGGCTGAGGGGTTTGTTTACTGGGGCTATTCTGCGGGACTCCATAATCACATCTGACCCACTTGGCTTCCGTTTTACGTCTGAGGTTAGAAATAGGGTACCGGTTAATGGTTTCCGATTTTCGGGTTAGGGTTATGCCTTTAGGCTTAGGTTTTTGGGTTACGGTTGGGGGTTGAGCGTATGATTAGGTTTCAGTATTACGGTTAGGTTTTCCAGTTACGGGTATGTCTAAGGACTATGGTTACGTTTACAATTTGGGCTAGGGTTAGGCTTGCCGTTAAGGGTAACAGTTAACGCTTAAGTTTGAGGTTAAGGTTAGGGTTGGGGTAAGATTAGGGTTAAGGTCGCCGTCCGGTTCCCCATTCCTGGCCACCAACTGCGCTCTAACCCATCTACCGATGTGCTCCATGAACATAATTATGAAAAGGATGCGGGAATTTGAAATTCATCAACAAAAGACTATGATTAAGCCGTTTTTAACTAGAAAATTTATAAGTGAACATTTTTTATTTGCCAAGAAATATAATAATTACCCGCCCTCAATCTAGAAGAGCATTTACTTCTGCTATGGGGTCTTATTTCTAGACAAGCCAATGAAGTCGACCCAGATGCTCGTATGTGGCAAAAATTTCCCGAAAGAGCACACTGGTCCGATGGCTACCTTGAAGAACTGTCAGCAGTTAATGGTTTGAATGACGATTAAATTCGGAGAGCGGCTAGTCCGGCGGTCGACCACGGACACCATCGAAAGCAAGGTGTTTGTCAGCATTTTGAACGATGTGTTCGATTACAACGACATCCACCGACTGGACATCATCATTTTACACGAAAATACTCCTGTCCATCGTTCTAAAGCAGTATGAATCTAATAACGCATTTAACCGTAATTTGACTTTTCAGACAACAGCCAGCCCCGCCGCATGTAGACTCCAGTCGATTTTTATCCCTGCCAACAGCTTAGATCTCAGTTCCATCGAAAATCTTTTCGCACTTATTAAAAGACTTTGACACAAGGCAAACAAAGGGCTTTCCGTGCAAGAAAAGCTTGATTTTATGCTAGTTAATCACATTAAACAATCGACTACAGACAACTTGGCTATCCCCATGTCTGAAAGACTTTCTGCTGTGATAAATGCAAATGGACAATCAAAAAAGTACTGATCTTTTGTACTTGCTATTATTTTTCATGATTTCCCCTATTTCACGCGTCCCTCTACATTATGCACCCTTATAATTAGCCATATTTAGGCGATTTGTAATATAGCCATTTTCTGAAATTCTAGTTTTCAGTGAAAATTAATTACTTCTACGTTAGTAAATATTAATTTACAACCCCAACTATGACTTCTTTCAAAGAACAGTCGTTTTTCCCTTCTGTAAGTCATTGAGGAACGAAGGTTTGGCGGATTTTATGTTAGAGAGATGTCCTTGTGCTAACTCATTACATTTCACAAGTTAGCACCCCTTCTGTATTTCATGATTGTCCACGTTCTTTGGATTCTCATAAAGTTGTAACTGAACGTATTCTTTTTATGTCTGTCTCTAAGGATAATGAATCTTGGACTTCATTCTTTGAACGAAAAGAATATTTTGGTTTAAAAAGTTTTCAATATACAGTCAGTGACTGATCTCATGAAATCTTAGCCGAAATTCTGAAACGCGTCTTTAATTAGGAGGGAGTCCTAAGGTGGGATTGTAATACTAATTATCATGTAGCGCAGTTCGAATATATGGTCGCATCTTATTTAGTAGCCGTACCTGCAGTAGACAAGCGCCAGCCTAACCCCCTACAGGTACGCCTACAAAATAAGATCTTGCCGAATATATTTCTGTCGAGCCAGGATGCTGGCTTTTGGCTGAACGTTTTTTCCTGTTGTCTACAAAAACCGCACCTAGCAAAAAGTGAAATCCTTAGTAGTATGCGTTTTTCTCATTGACTTTCGATGCTTTTGCGCACAAAATCATATTTCACATAGAGCAGGCTCGAAATATCCTTTTTTGTATTCATGTTGAAACAAATCACGTCTCCTTTAAATTTTATGCTCGAAGGAAGGGTGTCTCTACGGTTCTCAAATGTCTACAATTATAAGAATTTTTAGGACTCTGATATGCCCATTCAGTTAGCATTGTACCTTTCATCTATTAATGCAAAATTTTACGAGCCCTATATGGTGTCTTCCTAATGGCATAGTGTTATGACCCCGCTTCGTACTTGAAAGCACGTGGGAGCGTATGCGTACCCAACTCGTGTCCCCAATACAAACGCGGCAGAGAAGGAGAACGCGACGGGCCACGAAAATGTGTGGTAGAAAATTGCAAGTCAAGATTAACTGGAAGTAACGCCCTACTGTGGTTCGTCGGCATTCGGCCCAATGCCCTTCGGGAATAACATTCCAGACGAGCCGTTCGATAAGTCGAATACGCAGATCGATCAGGCTCGAGGGGAAAAGCCATTGGAGAGCCGCCACGATTAAGATGACAGCGCTGTAGAGAAAACGCATGCGGCCTCCAGTGATTGGTTGGCTCTTGTTTTCGGGAGTAAAGCACTCCCAACACATAGAGAGGTGTGCGGTTCTCCTTGCATGGAAAGTATAAAGCTTGTAGAGCGCAAACCCTAACCGCAAATGTAAATACGGGTCGCGTTCAAAATTATTGGGGATTTGAGAACCCTGCTGCCATCTGTGGAACGCTATTCAATTTACTGCCCCCCAATGTCCTCGGTTTCGTACGCGGTCAACAACATTACCGGTTCCACCACAAAGGCACAAGCGCTAGCAACTTACCCACCAAAAAAAACAGGCTGCACAAAGCCTACACTGACCGCCGGACAGAGGCAAACAAAGCGACCTTCCGTGGGTGTCGCCGCTCTGTACAGCGACGATTGCGGGAGATGCAAGAGGCGCCTGGATGGTTTGGAAGGCCGGGGAGATCCAAGGGTATGCGGACTGCAATGACACAAAGGACTTCGTCGCATCAGCCTAGGCGGTCTACGGCCACACAGCCAAAGGAACTGTCTCGCTTCTCAATCTTTATCTTAAGATTGGGTATGACCGGCTGACGACGGTTAATAAGCCGTTCCAGTCCCCCTTGTCTTTGTCAGTAATACCATTCTGCCTATATTATGCGCCGCTGTGCGGCCGCTGGTTGAGTTGGAGAGAGGGAGAACCCTAGGACACAAGGGTACGAGCGAGTTCCGTAAAAACGATCGGTGAGCGTCTCTCTACCAGGCGACTACTGTTAGTCGAAGCAGTTGACGTAAACATACACCTTGCCGGCTTCAATTTGACCGACTTGCTCGTTAGAAATTCGCAATTATGTGTTTCTGCTTCGAGTAAAAATTGTGTCCCAGGAACGGCAGAGAAAAGTAATCAACGACTGCCAACTTAAGAACGTGTTTTCATCGTTAAAACGTTTTACCAGACAGACAACCGGTGTAAGACACGCCGCCGATTTCAAGAAAAGTCTGATCGAACACTAGAAAAGACACGACAACCAGCCACATTCCCCGCCTTGAATCAACGGGTTCGTACAAAGATCGGCCAGGAATGGGGAAGCGGACGGCGACCTTAACCCTAATCTTACCCCAACCCTAACACTAACCTCAACCTTAAACGTTAACCGTTAACCCTAACGGCAACCCTAACCCTAACCGAAATCGTAAACGTAACCGTAGCCCTTAGACATACCCATAACTGAAGAAACCTAACCGTAATACTGAGAACTAATCGTACGCTCAAACCCTAACCGTAACCCGAAAACCTAAGCCTAAAGACATCCCTGACCCGAAAATCGGAAACCATTAACCGGTACCCTATTCCTAACCTCAGACGTAAAACGGAAGCCAAGTGGGTCAGATGTGATTATGGAGCCCCACAAAATAGCCCCAGTAAACAAACCCCCTCGCCACCTGTAATACGGGTCCTGGCTACCAACTGCGATCTTGCCCAAAGATCTTTCAAGACCTGGAAGACCAAAGTTTGTTTGCAACCTTGAAAGCAATCAGATTTTTAAAGTTGCCTTTGCTCCTAGTCCGCTAAGGTTTACAAGACGAGCTTCGCTAGAACTTGGTATCTCTCAGTGATCAGCTGTGAAAATGCTGCACAATATTTAGGCTCTCCATTACAACACTGTTGCGCACGACTGGCTTGATGAGCGCTCCGCAGAAAAGTGGATTGAACGTCCAAGTTCCATTGAGTATCCTCCTCGTTCACATGGTCTTACACCTCTGCACGCTTTTCTTTAGGGTGTGCTGAAAATCCCAGTCTACTCAGGGAAACCGTGAACTATTCTGCGACTTGCCCCAAGGAAAGTGGATTCTCGTACAAAAATCAACGAAGTCTTGTGTCGATTTGTGTGCTACTCCGTTCTTCACAGAAGTTCTGAGTGCAATGAATAACGCGGTCGACATTTCCAGCACTTACTCTAATTGTGCTCCTAATGACTTTTATTTCGTGTATAGTTGATTTAGTAATGTATGACCTGAATATCAGCAAATTTTATCATTTGAACCAAGAGTTTTTGACTGCCCGGTTACTTCTGACTCACTATGTATTTTGAATTATTTCATGCAAGGACTCTGTATAATTCAGAAGACGAAGGTGCGGTCACTGGAACAAGAAATTTATTGGTCTGACGCTTCGGATTCTCACTCGAATCCATCATCAGAGACATTCGCAGATAAAGGTGATGGTGGCACAAGGAGTGCAGAACTTATAGCACGTGGCTTCCGTGAGACCATATGCGACACTGTAATTAACAGCTCTCGCAATCACCGCTGGGGTCGTAATTAATGCGGTGGAGCGCAGAGGTGAACACTTTTCCCAACACCGGGGTCGGTGCGTCAGATGGTCGAGCAATCATCACGCCAACATCCAACGCACGTGATGAAATTGCAGCAATTATCGACTCGAATGTCGGCCATCAAGCAGTGATCACACCAAGTGCGACGATCCCGGATGAAGGGGGGAGCCGTGAATGTTCATAGGTATGCGGTAGAATGGCTACTGCATCCCATAAATACCGCAGCCCCTTGTGCAGCAACCACCCGTTTCTGCTTTTTTGTCTCTGATGATGGATTCGAGTAGGAATCCGAAACGTCAGGTTAATAAAACTCTTGTCCCGGCGATCGTGTCTCCTTCTTCAAGACAACTTCCTGGGACTCGTCTCTTCGCTTCTATTAACTCTGTATAATGTTATGTACGAAGTTAAAATGCTGCTCCCTATCAATCATATGCCTGCTAGACAGACGGAGACTGTCACGTCAGACCTTCTCAAATGCATTTATGCCTTCTCATGATCCTGAAAAGCAGACTACGCGCGTCATAGTGACCAGAACTTCTCCATGGGCGTAGGACAATACATGTCAACACTGATTTGAGATGCAGAGCGCCAATATAGTACTGTCCGGTGTTGTCTGGTGGCCGCGTAATCGCCCCATAACAGTGGGCAGTTAGATTTCCGCATGCTACGACGTTCATCACTGAGTGGGTGCAGCCCCGGGAAATTGCCTACCGTCTGCCGCAATCTCCCCTCTCTCACTCTGCTTCGGTGGAGGATAGCGTTAAGGCGAGCGGCGGTTGATGCCGGAGCGGTGACTGACAGTGCTAAACAGTTGGTCTACGCGTGCTATGCACGGCCTGGTTTCCACTCTTTATGAAGGCTTACAGAGGGGAGGGGGGCTTTCATAATACCGATTTAAATCATACATGGGTAGGAGTGTCATAAAGGCCATACTGAGTAGGAGTCATTGCAGTGAGGCTCTCAGTCCTCCGGCCACTACATTCTACTCCCATGAGAACCGAGTAATGTCGTAAATCGGCAACCTACTAAGCTAGAGTTGATAGCGCGTCGCGATAGACCCTAGCATGTCAGACTGATTATAAATAATAAATGCTGCTAGGTCGTGCATACGGGTCGTTACTGCGGCAACGCCTCCTCTTCGTCGACACACGCACACAGGCTGCACAACCTGTGCGGTGAAGAGCTTAACGCAAGCCCTAGTCAAGAGGCAAATAGCTCAAGATCCACATTTGGCGCGTTTTAGACTGCCGTCAAGTGTCCCCATCTTCGCCCGTCATTTTGGTCAAACAATCGACCGAGATAAGCATCCCTCCGTAGTTTATTCAGTGTCCTTCTCTAATGATCTGGCAGGAAGTTAATGAGGACACGCCCTTTTCCTGCCGAGAGCTCACTGGGAATGATGACTTCAGCATCCGCTTTTTACTTCTCATCTTCTGCCATTAAAATAAGATAAGTGGTCGAACAGGCGTCTGTTTCACTTACAAAAACCACAGCCTACAAAGATTAGGCGCCGCGGCGGACAAATATTCGAACGAAGGAGTCATTTGCATTTGCGTTAGAAGCTGGACGCGATGGACTGCGTCTATGCTTCTAGCAGAAGCCCACGACATTTTGGACGTTATTAAACACCGCACGTCTTACCTTGCTTCATATCGAAGCAATAGAAATGTCGGGCTATGAATTTAGTATAATAGCCTCTTTCCCAACGAAAGAGACAGAATAAAAAAAAGTTGACAAAGTCTCTTCCAAAAATTAGCAGTAAAAAGTGAGTTGCTGGTGCGCACTGCACCTTTTCCCCATGATTATTGGTAGCTTAAACTTACCTAGGTAGTGCTTCTACAGTGAGTGACTGATCTCATGAAATGTTTACCAAAATTCTGAAATGCGTTTTTGATTAGGAAGGATTACTTAGTCGTCGTTGTAACACTGATTATCTTCCGGCATAATTCTATGATATTTCGGACTCGGCAAGATGTCGGCTCTTGAATGCATTTCTTTCCAATCTCCTGTAGGAACCGTACTCGGTAAAAAATGACTACTCAAATAGCATGAATTTTTCGCACTGATTTTCGATGATCTTATAAAATCAAATATGTTTTCTGGAAGGCATGCTTTAAAATATTCCTTTTTCACTCGTTTAACAGAAAATCACGTTAACTTTATATTTTATACTTGAAGAAGAAGTATGTTTAGGCTTTAAAAAATGTCTCTTATTATGAGATTGATGTCCATTCATACAGCATCGTACCTTTCCGTTTGTCACTGCTTCTTAAGAAATGCACAGCATAGTCCGCATCCATTGCAAAATTTTATGGGCTCAATATGGTATCTTTTTAAAGGGATAAAGAAATATACGATTTTCCTTACGCGGAAGGCATGTATCTTGTTGACTAAAATCACCAGGCGCTAATGCAACGGCTGATCCGGCCCTAAATTAATCAGGAATTCGAAAACTTTTTTAACACATAAGTATACTCCATCTTCAAGCATAAAATATAAAGTTAACGTGATTTTCTATCAAGTGAGCGAAAAAAGAATATTTTTGTGCATATCTTCTATAAAATATATTTTAATTTATAAGATCATCGAAAATCAGTGCGAAAAATTCATGCTATTTGAGTAGTCATTTTTTACCGAGTACGGTTCCTACAGGAGATTGAAAAAAATGCATTCAAGAGCCGACATCTTGCCGAGCCCGAAATATTTTAGGATTATGCCGGAAGATAATCAGTGTTACAACGGCGACTAAGAAATCCTTCCTAGTCAAAAACGCATTTCAGAATTTTGGTAACCATTTCATGAGATCGGTCACTTACTGTATTTCCATCTAAAACGCACACCACGTTCCGCTTACTCTTAAGGGAAATAAAAGTGTCTGTCTTGGTCCAAAGTACATAAGCATTGCGGGGATTTTGATTGTTCTTATGTCATACTACCCAGCATAGCATTCAAGAAGGGCGTAACTTTTAACAAAAAGGAAGCCTATCGTAGGTAAGGAAACCGAGGCCGATGGCGATGAAGATGCTGATGCTGTTGTGGCGATGACGGGGATAATGATAATGACGATGACGGTGGTGATGGCGGTGCTCGTGTTGCTGCTGCTGCTGATGATGATGATGATGATGATGATGATGATGAGGAGGGTGATGATGATGAGGATGATGATGATGAGGATGAGGATAATGATGATGATGATGGTGGTGATGATGATGAGGAGGAGGAGGAGGAGGATGATGAGAATGATGAGGATGAGGATGATGATGATGATGGTGGTGGTGGTGGTGGTGGTGATGATGATGATGAGGATGATGATGATGATGATGATGATGATGATGATGATGATGATGATGATGATGATGATGATGATGATGATGATGATGATGATGATGATGATGATGATGATGATGATGATGATGATGATGATGATGATGATGGTGATGATGATGATTATGATTATGATGATGATGGCGGCGGCGGCGGCGGTGGCGGCGGCGGCGGCGGTGGCGGCGGCGATGGCAGGTAAGATTTAAATTGCCGGCGACTATAGCTAGGGTGCCTTTCATCCATTCTATTAAATAGCCCAGTGGAACGTTTAAATAGACTTTTTCTCATACAGAATATGCTTTAGCGTTATCTTTTTAACGAACAGCGAGGAACCTTAAGACATAAACCGGGCGGTTCTCTAAATCTAGGAGCTTTCCTATGCTTACAATTGTTGTACTGTAAGCTCACTTTCTTACGAGTATTCCTGTGTGATTGTGTACGGAGAAAAGTGAGAAAGATTCACACGAAAATCCTTAGCAGGTTTGAAAGGAGGTCCTTCTGTCCGCTCAACTCAACTGAAACAGGAAGGCGGAAAAGCCAATACTATTTCAAATTAGCGCAGCATTTTTGTCCTTAAAAATGTAAATGTGTACCTTGGCGAATTTCTGTGCCGTTCTACCCCACCAGCAGTTTATAATCTTAAATTGAAATTACAGAAGGAGCTATGAACTGATGTGTCGGCTATCTATACCTCTGACTACAGATGGTAAGGTAGATAAAACTTGTTTGAACTAGTTTAACCTACTACGCTCATTCTGGCGTGACTATGAATGGAACGTAGATGGCTCAAATTGACTCCAAATAAGTGGCGACGCAAACTTTTATTCGGCCAATGCACGAAAGTTTTCTGCGCTAGTTAGGCAAACTAGTCCATTCTCTATCCGAACTTTCTTCAACAACTGGCCGCGGGAGTATGCTTGTCGAAAGTGGAGTGGTCAAAAACACAAAGATCTTGAAGCAGCTGCCGCAATCAGTCTCTCCAGGCAAGTTGTCCAATCCAATCCGTCTTCTGAGACCTCGGATTTGGGAATCTTCGTGTTTTCGACAACACCATCCTGAAAATTGGTGACCCCGACGTGATCCGTACAGGCTTTTGCCTTTCGAGTGTCGTAGCAGACGAAATCAAAACATAACACATCTCTCTCTCTTTCCTCTTCCAGGCATTAGTCGAATGTCCGAGCCGGACAGTCGACTGGTGCGAGGATATCACAAATAGGAAGGTGATCACCAGCATTTCAATACCCTGTTGGGCTCGACAGTCTCTGCGGGCAGTCGACAGACAACACAAGCTTCTGGAAATACATATTCAACTGACAGACCGAAAATGGAACGTTCATACTTTGTTCTGTTATTATTTTATATATATATATATATTTTATGATAGTGGGCGCTCACCGATCAGGTTACGGAACATGCTCGTTCCGTTGTGCCTTGGGGCTCATACTTAAACCCTCGCAGGCAGTCGCACAGCGACTAGTGATATATGTTGGAAAGGTAATACCGATCGGTGAGCGCCCACTATCATAATTAATATTCCCGATCACAACCGACAGGACAACGGGCCCGTGGCTCAATGGTAGAGCGTTCAACTCCATGACCAAAGATCCCGGGTCCGAATCTCAAGTGATCCACACTTGGGGTTGGGTATGACTGGCTGATGACGGCTAATAAGCCAGAAATGGCCATTCCGGTCTCCCTTGTCTTTGTCGGTATTACCTTTCCAACATATATATATATATATATATATATATATATATATATGTTAGGGGGCGCTCACCGATCGTTCATACGGAACTCACTCGTTCCGTTGTGCCTTAAGGGCTCTCTCTCGAGCCCAACCAGCAGCCGCGCAGCGGCGCATGATATATAGGCAGAATGATATTACCGACAAAGACAAGGGAGACTGGAATGGCCATTTCTGGCTTATTAGCCGTCGTCAGCCAGCCATACCCAAGCCCGAAGTGTGGAACACCCGAGCCTCGAACTCGCGACCTGTTGGTTTAGAAGTCAACGCCTCTACTCACCGGGCCACGAGCCCGTTGCCCTGTCGGTTTTCGATCGGGAATATACAATGTTAGGGGGGCGCTCACCGATCGTTCATACGGAACTCACTCGTTCCGTTGTGCCTTATGGACTCTCTCTCGAGCCCAACCAGCAGCCGCACAGCGGCGCATGATATATAGGCAGAATGATATTACCGACAAAGACAAGTCAACGCCTCTACTCACCGGGCCACGATATATATATATCAAGTGAATAAGTTCAGAAACAACTCAGTGCAGGACTTGGAGTTAAGTCTCCGGGACATGACTTTTTAGGGTCAGAACCGAAATTTCAATGAACATTTGAGTCGAAGACAATCAACTAGTGTGGAATAACCATGTTATGTCCGTTCTACAAACAAGTAGTACTACGAGTAGTATGAATTCCATATGGTAAAGGTATTAAACCGTACTCCCGACATAGATACATGCTAAAAGCCCAGACATGTGTTTTGCCGATATTCTGCCGCTGCGTAACACAGCTGCGAGGGGTTCGGCTCCTCAGTGGGACCCCTCGGTGACAGGTGGCGAGACACTGATGAACTTCGGTTCGATGAAGTGCTTATGACCCATCTGGTAGGCTTCAGTGGTGGACCGACTGCGCCAGGTGCGTCTGTGTGCATGTTTGTGTTTCTGGTCCCAGCTGCTGGTGGTCAGGGTTATGATTGGCTGAATGAAGGCAGAATAAGCCCGAAACAGTGCTGTATCAATCTACCCGCATTCTCTGTCGTCCCTCCTCGCTGCTATTATGACTTGGCCGACTACGGCCTGGTAATTGGTTGCCTGTTCGTGACCTTTGCCACACATACGGATCTTGTTTGCTTTGTGAAGCCAATAGATCGGTGTGCGCCCATTCCTGATTGATATATATATATATACATATGGGTGCTGAAACCACTTAACGTGGGCGTTGGACATCGACCGGAAGCCACCATCCGCCGATTAGTCATGCAGCCAAAGGGTAGGCTGCCCCCTGAGGACATGTCAGGTGTCATTTACCGCGTCAGCTGCCTAGACTGTCAGGCCAACTATTGCGGCATGACAAACAAACGACTTAAAACGCGCACACATGAGCACGCCTTAGCCGTCAAGCGGAAAGATGCGCGCTCACACGTCGCCATGCACAGTCTGGAAAATGACCACCGCTTTGACTTTGACGGCGCCCAAGTGCTCGGCCGAGCGGAAAACAGACTGGCGCGAGAAATAATCGAGGCCTGGCAAACAGACGCCAACTCCATCAACCGCTGCGTCGACCTACCGGCACCATACGAGGCCGCCAAACACCACCTACGCACCAGGGGAGGCCTAATGAGGATAGAAATTGACGGCCCTATCAGGCGCGAGCGAGAGGGACCTATTTAAACCGTGTAATTTTCTAATATTTCCTATCTCCGATGATGCGCTCGAGTATGAGTGTGAAACGTCAGATGAATAAATCATCATTCTCAGAGCTCGCCTTACCATCTTCTTCAGGAAATCAGAGAAATTTATCCTCCTTCCAGTCAATCAAGACGGACAAAATGGCAAAAAGGAATACAGACCGTCCGAAAAACAGGCGGTCTTGCGCTACATTCCACGAAGGGTATCTATTCTCGTACTGTTCGCTATTTTCGAGATATTTGATGGGCTTGTACGATTAGTGGCGTATGAGCACTGATAAACCGTTGGCCTCTCGCGGTTTCCTACAAAATCGTGCCTACGAGTCTGATGCCAGCAGGATGAGTGGACGGGCCATGAGCAAGTCAGCACGAGAGACAATGGAGTCACAAATCGATCAACAGATGCGTTGAGCTCCACACCTCTCAGCCCATCCTGCCCAATCAGACTCAAGGACGCTGACTCACCTCCTTATTGGTTAACGCAGCCATCTGCATGGACATGATGCGAATTTTCTCGACGAGTGCGTATTTTAAAGTCCTTCAGCTACTCCCTCTTTTATTCTTAGAAACAGCTAAAGTCGGGAACTTCAAGACAATTAGCTCCGTTTGCTAATTTTATACTCTTCTTTTCTACCCATTGATCCTGCAAGGGATTCCTTACTAATTATGAAAGCTGGCATGCAGGTGAGACAGTGCCAGGATTTAAGCAGCTAATTGGACACTAACATGGCGGCGGATAAAAAGCGTTCTGGGTGTTTCGAAAAAGCAGAACACGCTTTCCACGCCACCCCCGTCCGCCAGCAGAATTGGGCAGGGAAGCTTTTGCAGCATTCAATTATTCATCTATTTTTAACTACGGTTGTCATCCTAAGCTAGCAAAAACCCCTCCGCGGAGGAAAGACCTCGGAACTAGCGTGCGCCATAACAATATGATGCCATAAATAGGGGCTAATTACTAACTCAAATGAAGTTCAGCATACCGAGAAAATACTTTCGTGAGATACCTTCTTCAGCGTTCCTCAATTGGTCAGGTTGTCGGAGTGTGTGCCTGGTTTGCGGAGACTGGAATAAAGGCCAATAGGCTAATAGGACACACCCCATTGCAATTTGCGTCGGGCGGTCAAAATAATTTATTTGTTTCCGTTTCCGTGTGCGTCGTTGATCAGAAGAGCGCCCTCCTGGGTTCGAAAAGTACAGTAGGTGGGCTAAATCATGAAATGTCAACCGAAATTCCGAAATGTGTTTTCATCTCGAAAAGATTAATTAAGTAGGGCTGTGAAATTAATCAGTCTTCAGTATAATTCTACAATAATTCAGTTACATCAGAATGCCGGCTTTCGAGCAAACTTCCTTCCGGCGGCATACAGAAACTATACTATGTAAAAAAGGACTACTTAGTTGGCATGCATTTTTCTCATTGATTTTCGATGCCCCTAAAAGTCCAATTATAGTTCGTGGAAAACATGCAATAAAATATTCATCTTTTCGCTCATTCGGTAGAAAACTACGTCGTCTTTCTATTTTATACTCGAAGGAGGGACGTAATTCGGTTTTTAAAAAGTGTCTAATTGTGAAACTTTTAAATAGCGTGAAATGACCGTTCATAAAACATCATGTCTCCGTATTTACCAATGTGGTTTGTAAAGTTAACAATATGACTGAAATGCACTGATAAATTTTATGAACCCCATATGGTCTCCTCTCAATACCGTAGAGAAATGTGTGGTTTTCTGTACCCGGAAAATACATGGCTTATAGTTTGAAAATCCTAAATGCAGGTGTGACGGAGAAGCAGGTTCAAAATTATTCGGGAATTGGAAAAGTTTTTGAAAACGGAATAATACCCTTCCTTCGAGTAAAAAATAGAAAGAAGACGTCATTTTCTACGGAATGAGTGGAAGAATGAATATTTTTATTCATGTTTTCCATGAACTATAATTGAATTCTTTAGGGACATCGAAAATCAATGAGGAAAATGCATGCTAAGTAAGTAGTCATTTTTTACAGAGTATAGTTTCATACTATGCAGCCAGAAGGAAGTTCGTTTAAAAGCCAGCATCCTGAGGTAACTGAATCATTATAGAATTATCCTGCAGACTGATTAGTTTTACAACCCCACTTAATTAATCTTTTCGATACGAAAACGCATTTCGGAATTTCGGTCGACATTTCATGAGTTAGCCCACCTACTGTAGAATCCGAACAGAAGCGTAGGTAGGACAGTGCAATAACTTCCACCGTTACGTACACCGGAACCAAAGAGACAACTTTGTTGTTCGGATGTGTAAGAGGAAGACCTGACTGTAGTAGGTTTCTTACTGGCGATGGATACCCCGAACCGTTCGATAACGAAAACCACGGTTGAACGCCCGCCGACGACCGAAAGGAAAGACGTCTCTATTTGATCCACATTTTCAGGATGCTCAACCGCCCAGCTTCCGAAACGATATCAACCACATCTCTTGTTAGTTTTTTTATTGCTCAACCCCAAGGTGTTTTTTACGAATCCATAGCTTTTTTCACTCAGAGGTAAAAAGGAGTCGTTGCAGCACACGTCTATGCATTCACCTGATCCCATGGAGCAGGTTGCGTTGGTTGAACTACCCTATGTCCTTGAATGAGAATTTTGCAGCACCTTTCGATTTGATTAGGACTGGAAGCGACAGGAAAGTTGCATTTGATCCCATTCTAGCACACTTGTTTGGCACTGGTCATTGTGTAGGCGTCGATCAAGTCGTCACTTTGTTCTATGCGGTGCTGAATGACACCTCATTGCCACGCATTGTACTGGCAGAAGAAGCATCAGTGAAATCTCTTTTTAAAAAAGCAGTCATCTCTTCTCTGAAGGACATCGTACCGGTTCTGGCCGCTCCCCCGCCGACGAGCGTGTACGTGGGCTATCAGCATGCCATAAATCTCTCGCGGTGACTCAAGCATTCCACACAACCTATGAGTCAGCGTCTCTCATAAACGAACTACACATTCAGGCAAAGCAACCATCGCCAATAGAAGCGAAGAGACGAGTCCCAGGAAGCAGTCTTGAAGAAGGTAACACGATCTCTGCGACAAGAGCTTTATTACCCTGACGTTTCGGATTCCTGCTCGAGCCCAACATCAGAGACAAAAGCAGATACGGGTGGTTCGTGCATTAGGGACCAAGTCCAGGTCCTTCAGCTCCTGAAGTTCTACCTCTGGACGTACTTCACATTCGACGGGACAATCTACGTACAGGTGAAGGGCAGACCAATGGGTTTGCCGATTTCGGGATTAATCGCCGAGGTGGTCCTGCAACGGTTAGAGTCGCTGGTCTTCCAACAACACAAGCCGAAGTTCTGGGCCCGGTAGGTGGATGATACCTTCGTCGTTATCGACAGGGATCAACTGCTAACATTTAAGGAACAGCTGAATGCGGTCTTCCCAGATATACAATTTACGACGGAGGAGGAAGAGAACAACCAGCTGGCCTTCCTGGATGTCCCCATACGCCGCAAAGATTGTGGGGAACTAAAGACCAAAATGTTCAGGAAAGCGACAAATACGATGCAAGTACTGAACTTCAACAGCAACCACCCAATCAGCCGCAAACGCTGTTTTGTAAGGACGCTCTATCGGTGTGTCGAAACGCCCTGCAGTGAGCCGGAAGACAAGATTTCCGAACTACAATACCTCCGACGGGTCTTCAAAGCCAATGGCTACCCGCGCAACTTCGTCGACCGGTGCATACGCAAAAGGGACGAAAGGCCTAACCGCATGGAAACCAAATTTTGGCGAACGCTTCCGTATGTCAAGAACGTTTCGGAAGCTGTCGGCCGCCTTCTCGCACCACTTGGGGTTGGAGTGGCACACAGACCGGAGGCAACTATCAGGTATCAGTTAATGAAACCGAAAGACCCGCTGCCACGGCTAGAAACGTCTGGAGTCGTTTATCGGATCTGATGCAGTTGCGGACAAAGCAACTACGTCGGAGAAACCGGAAGACAGCTCCGAACGAGAATGGCCGGGCACGCTGCAGCGGTGCGGAGAAATAATAAGAGTTGTATTTTATGCCAGTTTACAGGCATTGTCAGGGAAGCGTTAAACACAAATCCTGTTCACCTGCCATAAATCTCTCACGGTGACTCAAGCATTCCACTCAACCTATGAGTCAGCGTCTCTCACAAACGAATTACGCATTCAGCCAGACCAACCATCTATGCGAATACATATGTTGACCACAAACATATGCACCGAAGACGATAGTTCGCCGAAGAAGCTCATTGCCATGTTGATCACCATATGCAACGCTCACAGAACAAAATCCATCTGGCATTTTTTTGTAAACAAATTACTTGTGACCTGTGTTTCCTTGCCAAACACTGCTTCCATATGCCCACCAGATGGCAGAATTTTATTACCGACAAAGACAAAGGAGACTGGAATGGCCATTTTTGGCTTATTAGCCGTCGTCAGTCAGTCATACCCAACCCCGATCGGTGAGCGCCCCTACCATTGTATATTCCCGGTCGAACCCGACAGGACAACGGACTCGTGGCCCAGTGGTTAGGGGCATTAGACTTCTAACTAACAGGTCGCGAGTTCAGGCCTCGGGTTTTCCTCACTTCGGGATTGGGTATGACTGGCTGACGATGGTTAATATGCAAGAAATGACCATTCCAGTCTCCCTTGTCTTTGTCTGTAATAGCATTCTGCCTATATCATGCGCCATTGTGCGTCTGCTGGTTGGGCTCGAGAGAAAGCACGTAAGGCACAACGGAACGAGTGAGTTCCCTAAGAACGATCGGTGAGCGTACCTGCTGGTCGGTTTATAGAATCGTCCCCATCTGAATAATCTCCTTTACCCAAGTCTCAAACCCCACTTCCTGTTCACTGCCATGGCCAGACCGCTTGCTTATCATTACGGATCCAAGGAAGTTCCGAGATTATTTTTTATAAACTTCTTTCGCAAAATAACATACTTCCCTATTCGCACGGTCTTGTTTGGTTCACAAAACAAAATGCTAAATTAAGTCACGTCCTCATGACTGAGAAACATTTCGTCCCCTCTCTCCTCCCAGAATCGCTGGACTTTCTATCTCACAAATCATGGGTAAAGGTACTGCTCTGAGGTTCTTTTCCTCTAATTCTTTCATAAGGCATTAGTGATGTGACAAAAAAACGCCGCAGCCGCTTGTCGTTATCGCGAGGTCACAGAGTTCGCATGCCCGTTGTTAACATCCATCTTATGTTTTTATTTCCGCGTGTAAACGACACACAAACAGTCTTGGCTCGTCAGTCGATGGGGTGACACGCTGCTGATCAAGACTGATGTTTGGGCTACGATGCCTACGTCTTGATGTGGTCATTATGACATCCTTCTCCTTGTGGGCTCCGAAACCCGCTTTAGGGGATTTGGTGCTCGTGGAGCTGGGGACCAGCTCGTGCGTGGCACGCGTAGACAGGCGGTCTAACCTTTTCGACCACTGCGCCCACGCTCGCCTTCGGTCTTCCTGACATTGTCTTGACATCGGAGCAAGGTGGAGTGCGGTAGATGCTGCGCCCACTCTGTTGGACACTCGTTGGAAGTCATCGCCTACGATAGTCGGAATGTCAGGCAAAAACATCCTTGTACAGAGTTTAAGCGCCGATTCCTGACTACGTACTGTTTGCGAGATCTTCCGTTGGTTCTCGCTTCATCGTGCTTCAAGCGTGCTGGTTAGTCATTTGTCGACGGTAACCCAAGCATGATATTTTGGAACATGGCCAGAAGACTCAGCTAGCCACCACAGGAGTCATCTGGCGCTGAAAGAGGTATTTAAATCCTGAACGGTGCGACATCGGTGGAACAGGGAATTTTTAACCTGAAAAACATCGATTCACAGAGATCTGACAGTAATGGAAATGAGTGCAGTCGCAATATCTCCACATAGTGCAAAGCATAAATGTTCCTGAAAGGAGTACCAATAAAGACGCGGGAGACTAGACTGACCATTTCTAGTTTATTAGTCATCAGCAGCCAGCCACACTCAACTCCAATTTTGGGTCATTTGGGACCCTCACTGACGAAAAGCAGACTGCTCATGCCTAAGCTCTAAACAACTGACTAAGGATGCATGAAACCCCCGTCATCAAAAACATTTGGAACAGAATCGTTCGGCCTTCATACCCGAAATTGCCCGTCAGTCCTTATCAGTTGGAATCGTGACTCTTCTCATCAAATAACTCTGTCCCACAGGGAAATGCTATGGACTCGCCGTCGCATAGCCTAATGTAGGCCAGCCTGTCTGTGGTTTCCACTCAACGCAGTCTCCGTGCTTAGCAAAACAGGAAGAATGCTAACCGAATACACTGAACGCAGAGCAAGAATTCTCTTTGATCTGGTAATGCTGCTATCGCTGGACGACTGTTACCCGGCGTGCGCCGGCAGTCAGCCGGTGTTTTTTGCAGTCTCAGTTCTGAGTTCAACCAAACAGACGGCTGGCTACCCAGCGCTCTAATGCACCTACCCCTGCATCCCAGTCGCTTGCTCCACTCTTTTTTTTCTGGCGACCATCACGATCTGAAAAGAGTAGTTGTGCCGTGGCGGGAGACAGAAATCAATGCATCCATCGGTTAGATAGTAGGTGGTAGCCCTCCCGGTACCGAAAACTCCCAGCTACCTGACTTACGGGACCAGTGGTAATAGGGGCTATACGGATGGGGCAAATGAGTGGAGGCGTAAATGGCGCTTGTAGGGAATGCCTGGAATTGACGATCCTGATAAAGTGGAAACCTAATTTATATAAGGTGAAAAATGCGAGGAAGGTGAACACTTCGGGTCTGAGTGACGTATGAGACGCCTTGCTGTTGTAGTCTGAACCCAAGAGGTTGTAAGTGCGCGATGTGGTAGGTGAAGTGCGCCCAGTTCAAACCCAGCAATTTCGAAGCGCCCGGGGGGGGGTTGCCGTAGTGCCTTAAACTGGAAGTGCAGGAAAGGATCGTTAACTGACCATGGCGGTGTTTACAAGGCTTCACAGTTCTCAGCCAAACCCCTGCGACCAAATACAACCGGACTGTTCGTAAAGGCGGGGGGTGGAGGGCAACACTCTGTCAATACGACTGATGCAGTTGATGGAGTATCGGTAGACACCCTAACTGAGCGTCGGTTGTCCTTACGTACACGATCGCACCGGACTCTACTGGAGGTCTGGAGTAAAAAGACCCAAGGATGCAGGCAAACCGACGAAACGGAGACCCGCGCCAATCCGCCTAGGTTAGTACCTATGCAATTAATCTGATGCAGGTAATACTGTGCGCACATGCAACTAGAAACATAATAGGAAGCATGATGAATCACAATCCGTTTAGGATAAATCTTTCGCCTTTTACTAAGGATTTCCGAGTGGGGGTGCAATACAATGAGTCTATATAGACAGTCTTGCAGCGCCTCGTTCTCGGGGCGGTTAAAGTGAAGAAGAAAGTCATCCTGACAAGGCCTCTGTGCGTGCACCCCCCAGACATAATGAGAACGTTATCACAGATACCGAAATCGAGCCAGTAGGTACAATTGTAGAATCAGTGGGCAGGACTACCAACTACCATCCTGCCCATCCATCCCAAAGTTGGAGCGATTAGTCATCGCTAACGCGACGATGTGTGTCCCCACCCCCTTTTGTGGTTGGGGGGTACGCAGGTGCACTTTTGGAATGTACCGCGCGATCCAGACAAGCAGCTGGGGGTCTGGTTTTGGACAATCGTGTGTGTGCGAGACATAGGGCGAGGCTACTCAGTCAATTAAGAGGGAATATCGATTGGTTCGCCCAGCTGTCAGACTCATCACGGGTTGGTGACGTCTACCAAGCCGAAAATGGGCCTCCAGTGTCCAGCCTTATCACTTTAAGGACCCATTTTGCGAGGACCAGGCCGTGTGTGGCACACCTGGGCTATATAGCTTTGACAGCCACTGCGCTCAAGCCCGCCTCCGATCGTTCTAACTCCGTCTGCACACGGGGCCGAGGTGGGTGGTGGAAAAAGGAGTGTGGCAGATGCTGCGTTCTCTACGATGGACAGCTCCGCACGCGACGATCGAACTGTCTTTCTGTAAGCAACGTCGCGTGTTTGCCCTAGTGTGTCGGCGCAACACGCCAATTCCCATACCTCATTAGGCGGCAGCTTCACCATCACCAAATATAGAGGGCGAACCCCGTAACTCTCTGATCATCTTGCATGAAAGCATGCGCTCGTTCCTTATTCTATTAAAGCTCTGCCTGTATTTTTCTCAGACGGTCAGATATCGGCATACAATAGAAATACCACTTAAACAGCGAATCCCCAGGGTTCAACATCCAAAAAGATGACTGGGGTGAACGTGCTGTCGAAAATATCATATCCGAGCTCGACAACCAAATGCAACGTCTGCCCATCGGTAGCAAGTGACGGACATGTACAGTACGTGACCTATCTCATGAAACCTGATAACGGAAACTGATATGAGAATTTCTGGACGTCTTTAACGTTGCGTATTTTGCTCGCTCATCCACTTCCTTCAATGACACGTCCTTTTCTTGTGCAGAAATTGTGTCAACGTATCAAGGAAAATATCAATAAATTTTAGCGAAAATTTACGTTGCCAGAAATGTAACAAGCAAAACATGAATAGTTTCAGCAAAGTATCAGTATTTATATGGGCGCACTGCCATGCATTCATAATCGAAGAACGGAGTCTAAAAGAAAGTAAAAACAATGAAAATAACTTCGATGTATAGAGAAAAGTATGTTCTTAGGTTTACGGTAGAAAATAGTAGTATTGTTTAGGAACATGAAGGAAACGGCCAAAAGGGCCAAATCTTTATTTGGTCGCACCGTGCAGAAATGCAAAGTACACAGAAATCCGTCTACGGAGTGCAGTACTAAAACACTTTCTAAAGAGATAACTTATTAAGGAAAGTTTTCTAATTGATATAAGGCATATTCGTTGTTGACTTTCGTTGTGGACAGTCATTTACTTCGAAAATGAATTTTGATGTTTGAATGAGTCTTCACATATGACCCAAACGACCATCCTCGTGAAAAGGAGCGCCCGAACACTCACTAATTTGGTAAATGACTTCAATAATTACCTTATTTTAAATTTCGCAACAGACAGGTAATTCAGAATTTGTCTTTATGGACGGTAGGGTGAAAACATTGAAAATCCTGAAGTATTCAGCAACATTTCGAGGCCGATCTGAAACTCAACGTAATCCAAAATGAACGAACAGTGTAAATTAATCTAACGAAAGAAAATTTCTCTCTATAAACACAAAATGGTATGTTTCAGATCACGCCATGCAGTTCTATTTAAATTTATTAGGCAACGATGGGCCTGACAGCATGTCATCTTCTGAAATCTTTTGTTCCTATGACGTCTCCATCGGTGAAATTAAGCAAAATCCCATTTGTCTTGTTGAACTCCCATCCCATTAAACTCAAAAGAATCAAGGATACCACGAATCCCCGGAAAACTGTTTTGGAATCTACACTCAGAATGTAGGCAGTTGGCAAATCACCACACATGAAATTACACTTATTCTTAATTGATATTCAGATGTAAACTTCAAGTAAACACTACTATTAGACGTTATTTTATTTCTGCTATCATATTTACTACGTTTTTGATATGAGAATACATTCTATACATGTAAAAACGAAGTTTACTAGATTACAGCCATTTTTGGCGTTTTCACTGCGATCTTCTAAAAATATTGGCATTTCTAAACAACTCAACGCAATCTTTAATATTTGTTTTATGTTTTTAATTCTTTAAAACTTGTGCTTATTTAACATAGACATTGGACTCATGAAATGAGGTCGGTTTGCGAGTGATTGGCAATCATTCCTAAATTTCGACACCTTTCGTGGGTGAGGTAACGAACTGTAAGTATGAATTTCAGGGGAAGGGGTTGCTCATATTTCAGTCTTGCTACTATTAAGTAGAAAGTGGGCCATTTTCAGACTTCGGCCAATGGATCAGGCACGTTGTCAGACACCCCCAGCACCAGAAGTGATGATAACACTAAAAACCCAGCTGGCGTGAGGAGAGGCATTTACGCCTGTTCGCTATAAATGCCTCAACGAGAGTTCTCGGACCGGATCTGCTGCGTGAGGAGACCGTGGGAAGAGATGGCGCCAAGGCTTGCAGTCCATTGGCTGCTAATTTTTAGTTCTCCCCCATTTCCAGTTCATTTTCGCCAGCTTAGCACCCATTCAGCCAACCGTCTGGGCAGAAATAGCTGAGCTGTTAAGCCCACGCCCTGTGGCGACTAATGTTAGCCACCAGATAAACAAGGATTTAAGACGCAGCGCTCGGTACACCGTCTCCCATACCTTGGCAAGTATTTAATTTCGAATATCAGATTTATGCGGGCGAAAAAAAGCTGGACGGTTAGGGAGAGAAGTGCTCCCACTCCAATAAAAACTAGCACAATTTTTTGTAGTTAGTCCTAGTCCCCCTTCGGAACGAGAGTACGGATCTCCAGCGTGACGGTTTGGCATCTCAAAATACACCTCAATCAAGTAACTTGCAGTGGCCGACCGATGGAACAAACTACACTGGATCGATCACCGAGATCATTTGTTTATTTTTTTGAGGGGCTTTCGAACGCGTCAAAGATGACAGCAGCAAGTAATGCATGTGGAATGACTATCCGAAGGTGATGGTAGGGGACGCTGACTGATCGTTCTTACGGAAGTCACTCGTTCCGTTGTGCCTTACGGGCTCTCTTTCAAGCATAACCAGCAGCCGCACAGCGGCGCATGATGTAGACATTGGACTCATGAAATGATGTCGGTGTGCGAGTGATTGGCAATCATTCCTAAATTTCGACACATTTCATGAGATAGGTCATTGACTGTATAAGAAAAAAATCCTTGCAAGCGGCATCGCTTAATTCCTCTTTGCTGCAGAACTGTTTTGTATGTTTAACCCTTGAGGACTGCGGCGTAAAGGATTTAACGTCATAAATCCTGATTCCGTTACGAACAGGTGACCGCAAGACGATAGTTCACCAGCAACTTGAACTTATTCGTGCGATCTAAATCCATCGGCGCAGCAGGCCAACGTCTGCCATCGAGGCTGCACACATGTATGTAGTGACATGTAAGTCCGTTTTGTTTTAATAAGTTACAATACGCTTTGACACAACTTTGAATAAGAATAAGAACACGCACGTACACTTTTACCTGCTGACGACTTTGTTCTTATTTACTAGTTTGTAACTGTTGGGATACTGCTATTTTCGTTTGCCGTATAGCCTACTCGCTGTGCCCAACTAATGGGTTTGTCTCTTACATGTAGTAAGCACACTGTCCATTTGCGAGATCCAAGTGCGTCCGCAAGAGTCCGATCGAAACAAATTTTCATCCGAGGTGCTCGAAAAAAATAATTAATACCACGACTATTACGTGTTTGTAGTCTTCAGAGAAGTCAAAGTTCGAATGCAGGAGTTTTGAACAGACAGACAAACAAACGAACAGAAGAAGATGGAAAGAAAAAAGGACGTGGCGGAGAGGCCTTCGTGAAATTCCACAGCGCCTGTTGCTTCTCTTCCTGCAGAAGAGTGTTTTGGCACACTTTCCTGACGTGATATCCGTCCAGGCACCCAAAAAAGGTATTGCCAGCTGGCAAGCCCAGCTGTTGCGCTAACCCGTCCCCCCTTGGGTACAGAAACCAGACAACTGCGAATTTGGTGTCCGTAACTGGGTCAAGGTCACTGCACACAGGCCTCCTCCGCTCCTTGCGGTAAACAAAGATGATCCGCGTCTACGCGAGACGTGAGGCGGGGGGGGGGAGGGGAGAGGGGAATTGGGGTACAAATGTGCAGTCTGCAAGTCTTGGCGCTTCTTTGCATTTTGACAAATTTTAAGGTGGATGTACGTAACGAGCGTCTGCGTGTCCAATGGGAACACAAGCTCACTAAAAGTCAACAAAGCTAGTATCCAGGCTGGGAAATTGGCCATAGGAATCACACCGAACGAACCTTGGAGAAATTGAGGAGGAAGTAGTGTTAGCTGAGGGGTCATGAATGACGAACAGAAACGGTGATGAGTACAACCTACACGGGATCTGCTGGACGCAGCACAAACCAATCCAAACTCAGTGCTTTTATCAGTAGAAGCGGTAAGACGTTGATGATAGGGCTACGGGTAGGGGGCGCTCACCGATCGTCCTTGCGCAACTCACTCGTTCCGTTGTGCCTTATGGGCTCTCTCTCTCTCTTGAGCCCAACCAGCAACTGCACAGCGACGCATGATATAGGCAGCATGTTGTTACCGACAAAGACAAGGGAGACTGGTCTCCAAGATGTCAGTCGCCCTAAGAGAAGTTATAGGCTTCCCCTAGGCTGAAGGAATTCAAGCAGGCGGGACGAAAGTGCAGATTGCATTAGTTTCAATATTTAATGAAGCCAATGGACCCCAGTTAAAATTCCGTTTGTTCTCAGCTTGCAGTAGGCCTGCACATGAAAGTCAATTTGGTCTATGGTAGGTGGCGTATCCCACGCAAATTCAGCAGTGTGATCTCGGTTAGAAAGATTTACTCAAGTCAGACTCTAATATGACTTATCACAGAGCGTAAACTAATGATATTTCCGTCATGATAGGACGCCAGTTTTTGAATGCATGTCCTCCAGACAACCTACATGAATCCCAGTCGTTAGAAGCAGCGGCTCAAGCAGTGGTTTTTCCACTGATTTTTGATGCCGTTATAAATGCAAGCACATTTTACAGAAAACATAAACATAGATATCCTTTCCTGTGTTCACCACTGCAGTAACTGATGTCTTTTTAAACGTTTTTATCCGAAAAAGTGACATGTTCTAGTTTTTTGACAAATTTATTTCCTACCATTGCAATTGCGCAAGGGGTTTCCAACTGTTAAACTGAACACTTGCAATTTAAGAATAGTTGTACGTCCCCTTATTTTAGTAGGCTTTTGAAATGTTGCTATGGAGACGAACTACGCCCGCATAAGGCGTCCTTGTATGCGGACAACTACGACGTTAGTTGAGTGGCCATTTCAGGGTCTTGAAAAATCCCATAATTGCGAAGTATTTTAAATCGAGAGGTACTTTTCATCCAGCAGAAAGTCTGAAGAAGACAGTATTTACTATAAAGTGATTACGAGGGCACTTTTCTACTACAATATGTTCTGATTCGAAAGTACACGGAAAGTCGACAGAAAAGGCGTATACTAGTAAAATAGTCTTTTTTAGCGAGAGTGTAATCTTTGCAGGTTGTCGGGAAGTCACGTAATCAAAAAGTCGGCATCCTGGTTGGGTCGAAGTATCCGGCGACTATGCTGCAAAATAATAGATTTTACGACCCCCACCTAAGTAATCACTTCAAACCGAAATCGTGTTCCAAAATCGCAATCAACTTTTAACGAGCTACGTCACCTGCCAATTATACGAGTCTGTCTTGTAAATGTTAGTAGAGCCCCACACAAACAAACGCTTTCTTCTATAAAGTCTCGTTTTTAAACGATTCACTGAGTTACAGAAAGAGACGGGCTGGTGCGAACTAACCTGAACTGATTGCAAAACGAAATGCTAGTGATTCCATCTCAATCTGAAGTGCTAAGCTAGACACCTCGCAGACGACCTAACAGGGACTAGGAATCAATACGCCAGAAGGGATATCAACAAAAACAAGTCTGCATGATATGGTGTATTGGTAGCACATAAGTACAATTAGCATTCCAATATAGTTTTCGGCAATACTACCCAGTACGCTGCACTTTGAGTGTGAAAGGGCTTATAGTTGTTCTGAGCCCAAGCTCCACTCCGCTGGGCTGAGCAGTAGTTTGCCATCTGAGTCTGGTGGACAGGAGAAGAGAGAGCGTGGTAGATGCTGCGCAAGTCTACTCTCACCATAAACCAATTCACGCACAAGTTAGTAGCGTTGCATTCCCCATGCTCTAAGGCATACGGCGAACGGCGTTACTCACAAGGGTAGAACTGTCGGTTACCTTTGACCTCCGAATATTTGTTTGTTTTGGTTGTTAGTGAGTAAGCAGTACAGCTCATTAATCCGTCATTAGGGCTGACAGGTAATACGACATTCTCAGTTTCGACTCACCGTGCACTTTGCACGGTCCTTGTTTCGCCCCCGTAGAGGAGTCGTCGGAACAGTCCAAAAATAATGTAATTGCCGCCAATGCCTCTGACCACTGAGCCACGGGCTCGTTGTCTTGTCGGTTGCGATCGGGAATATACCATGGTAGAGGGGCACTCACCGATCGCAACCGACAAGACAACGAGCCCGTGGCTCAGTGGTCAGAGGCGTTGGACTTTTAACAGGTCGCGGAATTGAATCCCAGGTATTCCATACTTCGAGGTTGGGTAGGACCGGCTGACGCCGGATAATTAGCCAGAAATGACCATTCCAGTCTCCCTTGTCTTTGTCGGTAATGCTCTCCTGCCTATGTCATGCGCCGCTCTGCGGTTGCTGGTCGGGTTCGAGAGAGAGAGCCCGTAAGGCACAACGGGACGAGTGAGTTCCTTAACGACCATCGGTGAGCGCCCCTCTACCATTGAAAGTAGGATTGTTTGTCGAAAAGATGAGTTTAATTTGACCTTCTGAATTCTCATGAATTTAGTTTGAAAGTAACGCGATCTGACGATCTCATATCGGTGACGTGTGAGAGGTTCGTCCAAGAATCATTACCAGACCCTAGGGAGACCCGCGTGACGGTAGAATTCATTGAGAAAAACAGGTAAGACAGGGGAATAGAACCCTCCCCGTAACATAGGAGGCCTGGCGCTAAATTCTAGGAAAGATGCCTATTCCCACACCCCATCCTTGACCCTAAACCATACCCCAGCGTTAACGTTTACAGACATCGACACTTCGACCGTCTTGACCTACGAGGTCCACCGTGTGCTCCACAGCAGGATGAGAGTTGGTACAGTTGTAGCAGTTCGCGTCTCCTCGCTCTCCGTCTTTGTCACGCTGCCCTCCTGTCCGCCTCACACTCCTTGTCGATGCGCTGATGGGATGCGCGAGTGCTCGAAGCCAATCAACGCTGCCCCCACTCTGATTGGCTGGCGAGATTGAGACAACGAAGGGCGCACACACGCGCTGACACAACACCTCGAAGGCGGCCACAGGCAACAGCTTGCTTGGAGCGCGCTCGCGGCGACTGCCTACAGAGCCTTTGTGCACACACTTTCCAGGCAGTAAAGTTTGTCCAACTCAAACCGTCTTTCCTGACTTTTGATTGGGAATCTTTATCTTGTCGACCACACAACGACTTTCGACACAGTCACGTGCGCGTGAATTAGGTTATAGTGGTAGTAAACTTGCACAGCATCTACCACGCTTCCGCCTCCTCTCCCTCCTGGACCCGCTGTTAAGACATAGTCAAGAAGACCGGAGGCGGGAGAGGACGCAGGTGGCTGGCACAGCCGGACCCGCACCTAGGCGTGCCACTACATCCCCTGGGTCACAACAAAAACTTGATCAGGGTTGTAGTTCACAAAAGGGGGGACGGCGACGTGGGCCGGCAACTGGGCCTGCCACCACAACCCAAACTTTGGCACTGCCGATAACTCCTGTCAGAATCCATTTTGGTTTTCAAATTGGTCTGCAACGCACCACAAGTTCGACAGGGTTGTTTGAACTAGCTGAAGTCATTTTGGCGCGGATCCCAGATGGGTCTGGTTTGATTGTTTACCAGTGAAGATGTCCGGTGTTCATTCCCTTCCTGCCGCTCATACCGCTTCCCCCGCTCTCGCCATTCGTTCGTCACTCGTCTCGCTTATCGTCAGCACACCCCCGGCCCTTACCTGCAGTGGCTGACAGCGCTTCACCCCCAACTGGTGTATAACTGACATGACACGACTACCTCCCACTCCAAATTGATCATTTGTACAGTACCTCCTTATTTTCCACTTTTCCTACTCTATCCTTTTGCTATCGTCACATAGATTTCATACATCAAAAAGCCCTTTTCTTATGACATCCCGATATGCTTATCTGATGTGATGTTTGACAACTCTATACAGTGTTACATAACCGGAAAGTAGGATTGATTGTCGAAAAGATGAGTTTACTTTGACCTTCTGAATTCTCATGAATTTAGTTCGAAAGTGACGCGATCTGACGATCTCATATCGGTGACGTGGGAGATGTTCGTCCAAGAATCATTACCAGACCCTAGAGAGACCCGAGTGACGGTAGAATTCATTGAGAAAAACAGGTAAGACAGGGGAATAGAACCCTCCCCGTAACATAGGAGGCCTTGTCCTAAATTCCAGGAAAGATGCCTATTCCCACACCCCATCCTTGACCCTAAACCATATCCCAGCGTTAACGTTTACAGACATCGACATTTCGACCGTCGTGACCTACGATGTCCACCGTGTGCTCCACAACAGGGGGAGAGTTGGTACAGTAACTTGCGCGTGAATCAGGTTATAGTGGTAGTAAACTTGCCAGCATCTACCACGCTTCCTCCTCCTCCTCCTCCTCCTCCTCCTCCTCCTCCTCCTCCTATCCACCTAGACCCGGTGTCAAGGCATAGTCAAGAAGGCCGGAAGCGCAAGAGGGCGCAGGTGGCTGGCATAGCCGGACCCGCACCTAGGCGTACCAGTGCATCCCCTGGTCCACAATGGGGGGACGGCAAGTGTCCCGAATTGCGCGACGTGGGTCGGCAGCGGCGCATTCCCGATAACTCCTGTCAGAACCCATTGTGATTCCCATATTGGTCTGTAACGCACCGCAAGTTCGACAGGATTGTTTGAACGAGCTGAGGTCACTTTGGCGCGGATCCCAGATGGGTCTGCTGTGATCCTTTACCAGTGAAGATGTCCGGTGTTCCCTCCCTTCCTACCGCTCATACCGCTTTCCCCGCTCTCGCCGTCCGCCCTTCGCTCGTCTGGCTTATCGTCAGCACACTCCTCGACCCTTGTCCGCAGTTGCCGACAACGCTGCAATCTCCACTGGCGTCTAACTGACATGGCATGGTCACCTCCCACTCCAAATGAATCATTTGTACAGTACCTCCTTATTTTCCACTTTTCCTACTCTATCCTTCTACTATCGTCACATAGATTTCATACATCAAATAGCCGTTTTCTTATGACATCCCGATATGCTTATCCGATGTGATGTTTGACAACTCCATACAGTGTTACATAACCGGAAAGCTACCCTACGTGGTCTGTTTGACCGTGCGTGTGCTAACCACGACGTCCTCTGCCGCTACATGTCCACTGCATTCACCGCGGGGCCTATTTGGGGGCAATCTAACGACAGTCCGCCCGTCGTTGCCGACGATATCTATCGTGTGCTACACACTTAGGTGCAACAGGCACGATGACTTCCGCGTGAATTAGTTTATAGTGGCAGTAGACTTGCACAGCATCTACCTCACTCCCTCCTCCCCATTCCTCACCTGGACCCGGAGGTGGGGAAGGACGCAGGCGGCTGGCACGGCAGCACCCGCACCTTGGTTTGCCACCACACCCCCTGGTCCACAACATACATTTGACCAGGATCTTTCACCAACATCAACAACAACACCAGCAACACCCCAACAAAGGTCAGGAGGGCAAAAATGATGACTGGGCAGCCGTGCCCACCACCTGTATACTCAGCGGGAGCGCAAGCGCATCTACCGTCGGGGAACCAGGTGTCAGGGAACTGCCAGCGCATACCAGGCTGCGGGGGCCATGGTCTGGTGACACTGACATAGCACACGCCTTCTGACCTTTTGAGGCAATCTAACACTAACACCAACATCAACCCCAATCTCTCTGGAGATTGGCGCACTGCCACCTGTATAACGGGGAATGGGTGCTCCGATTCCAAAGTCCTCTAGCTAAACATTGGAATAAGTGAGTATCCCACTTTGTATCCCACTCGACGCAACGTATATCTGGGTCTAGTTAGAGCAGGCTCCTATGTTTTGTGCGCCTTAGTAACGGATGATTTCGAAAAAGCCTGGATGCTTTTGTTTGTAGTGTGGCTCCGTAAAAGGGGTCAACTTCTAGTAGTTATCCCCGCTGAATTTCACAAGACAGGTCGTTGACTCTGTTAAAAGCAGGAAACAATGTTTAATGACCCCCGTTAAAATGACTCCTACCAGTCTAAACAATCAGGATTCTACTGTTTCCGTTTTCAGGCGATGATGGTAAGGAGTGAACTATCCATTGGTTGAAAATTCGTCCCTCGAGTAAAAGGTTGCTCGTCAGCGACGCTCGTGAACAATGTTCACTTGCGCATAAATTGCGTAAGAGGGCAGAGTACCCGCACAGCATCCGCCACAACCTCGGGCGCACACCTACTGACTCACTTGCATGATAAAGTCAGTGCAGTTGGCGATGGGATTGCACTCTGGACTTCTTTCGCACAAATCAATCGCCGGCTAGGAGATGGGCCGGC